CCCCCCCTGCCACCCTCCACCCCAAACCCATCCCCCTTACCCCCACAAGCAACCACCCAAACCCCCTCCCCCTGATTTCTTATCCCCCTGCCCGACCCCAAAATCCGGTCCCCCACCCACTGGTGGCGCCCTCCTCACTCAGTAGAGAATCTGCAGACCTCCTTCTCTATCTTCTCTCTCTCCGTTTGTGTGGAAGCAGAGCAGAAACCACAACAGCAATCCAATCTTCTCAACTCTCAATTCAAACTCAGGTATGTACTTCTAATAACTGCTTTAACTTGTTATGTTCTAATTGAATCGAAAAACCAAAATATATATTGTAGCAACTTTCCGACGTGATTCCGGCTTTGTCTGCCCTCCTATCGCCGTGATTCTTAAACCAAAGCGTTCGTTCCTTCTACCTATCCCGACCAAGACCCAGCCCCAGCCCAGACAGTCGCTGTGCAAGGCGAATACTTGATCGAAAGTCAATACTTTGCCACAGTTCTCGTTACTGTTTGAGCAGCTTTCCGGCCGTTTACGGCCACCGTTTGTTGGGTTTTGTTCCTCTTCTTGCAAGGAACATTTTTCATGCTGACGCCGTCTCCATTGTTCCACCGTGGAAGCCGGATCGACACCGTGAAGATCGGCCCTCGAGCCGCGACTTTCCGACGGCGTTTCCGGTCGCTTCCAGTAATTTTTTAGGTAAAGTCCCTTTACAAAAGTTGTTATACTGGTTGTGATCCTCAATTTGATATGAGGCTTGACAGCCGTTGTTGAGATTTTCCGGTATACCAGATATGGAACCTGAACCTATTGTTCCAACTATTACGGGACATGCCGACTCATCCAGAATTGTTGAGTTGGTCAGGGAACTGAGAGAACTGGGTGCAGAACCTTTTTATGGAACTAGGAGCTACATGAAAGCTGATGAGTGGTTTGGTAATATAGAGAACTTGTTCGAAATGATGGAGTGCTCTGAGGTTGAAAAGAAAGAGTTGACTGTTTTTCTCTTGCAAGGTAAAGCTCGATCTTGGTGGGATGAAGTTAAGAAAGCTGAAGACGTATCACTGATGGACTGGGAAGGGTTCAAGACGGTTTTCTATGCCAAGTATTTTCCTGCGAAAGATAGGCTGGAGGCTTCTTTCTTGAGTCTTGAGCAGGGCTCTCTGTCTGTGGGTGACTATGAGGCTAAATTTTCGAAGTTGCTTCGTTTCGCACAACCAATGACTGAGGTGCAGAAAGCACGAAAGTTTGAGTTGGGATTGGTTGATGACATTAGAAGTTCAGTGGTTAACTTGAGACTCCAAACCTTAACTGAAGTGGTAGACTGCGCCATCGCAGTTGAGAAGACTATTGAGCTGTACATACAACACCAAAACAGACAAAGAGATTACAGAGGAAAGGGGAAGGCGTCAGCTCAATGCATGTGTGCCTCAGGTGAACATGGTGGAACTGGAAAGAGGCAGAGAGGCCGAGCAGCTATACATGCTCAACAGACAAGAACAAGTGAGTGTTACAACTGTAGTGAGGTCGGACATTTGCGTAGGGATTGTCCAAAATCGAAGGCCCAGTGTTGTTTCAATTGCAAGCAGCCGGGGCATTTGGCTAAGGATTGCACTCAGGGGTAGACTTGAGTGTTCGTTGGATGGCAGAGGACAGACTGAAGTGGAAGTTATGTAAATCTTTTTCTCAGTTTAATGTGCGAGTGTTTGAATCAACTCTGTGGTGTTTTTGTGCTTGTAAAAGTGTACTTGTAAATCTTTTAGTAAATTCACTCTTGGAAAGAGTTTCATGGCTCATGGGAATCCAAGAGACACCTCCATCCGCATTGGGTTTCAATTTTCATTCTCATGGGAAACCAAGGCAACATTGCATTAAATCATCTGAAAGTATGAAACCCATGTCAAGTATAAGTAAAATTGAAGAAAACCCAAAATCCAAAAAATAAAATAATAAAAAATGAAAAAATGTTAGAAAGTAATTATACGATTATGTCCCTTTAAGATTACTCTCTAAAATAGTCAACGGGTCTAGCTCAGTGAAAAATGGCCTTAACTTGCAGGCTAGAGGTCTCAAGTTCAAATCCCCATGATATCTTGGTTGCGTGTGTGTATAAAAATATATCTCTAAGAAGAAATTGACCTATTATAAGTTCAAATCCCCTTGATATCTTGGTTGCGTGTGTGTATAAAAATATATTTCTAAGAAGAAATTGACCTATTATATGTCTGGTTTTGAGTCAATGAATTAGAAGGTTCTTTGTCACCGCCATATCATATCATAAATAAATATTATATTGTTTAATCATGGCTCATTCAAAACCAAGACGTGGGCTACCTAACAATTTTTATATATTTTAGCAAAACATGTTATGTGACATTTGCAAGCAAATTTTTTTAAAGAAATTGATTGATTAATTACTGAATTTGGCAGAAATTATACCCAACTACGTATGGATCGAAGGTCCTTCCAACGGGGAATTTGACGACACCGCCATCACTAGAGGACTGCTGCAACATCCTTCCATTCCGGACTCGGTCTCGAGCTCTGAGTTGACTCAGTTCCACTCTGTGGTTTGTTGGAAAAGCTCTCTCCAGAGTAAAGAGTGGTGGAAAAACTGCAGAGAACCACCGACGGCAGCAGTACCGCCGCGGCAATAAGAAGCTTTGCCAGAAAATTTGCCGCCATTTCTCTCTCCCTCTCCCTCTCCCTATCTCTCTCGTTTATTTGGAGAGAGAAGGGATGTCCAAGTCTGTCCCAGATAACAACTGATAACAGAATTTCAAAATAGTGATGACGTTAGCTTTTATTATTTCATATCTTAAATAAATATTTTAATATTTTAATTAATTTGGTAATCAACTTCCTTATTTTTGTTTTCTTTTTGGACGGCTTTTCAGCTACGATGCTTTCACTCGGTATCACGTAACCATGTTTGACCACACACACACATTCTAACTTCTCTCGAAGCTTTACACCAGATGGATCAAAAGAAAATTGAGTTGTGGCAGTTAGGAGGTGATTGGTTTGAAGAAAAAGGGGCATGGGTTACTTGTCAATGTTAGTAAATGGAAAAGGTTATCGTAGCTCATGGGAAACAAAGACACCTCCATCTACTTTGAATTTCATTTTTCCCTTTACGAGAAACCAACTTCATTACACTTTTTTTTAATGACTAATTTCCAACTCCTCATCAATTCAATTCCTCCTAATTTAATTATGAATTTGTAAACATGCCGAAAGTATTTTTAAGGTTTCTATATCCCTAAGCCTAACCTAGAAGAGAGTTGGGTAGAACTACTTACTTAAATGCCTAGTGTTTTCTAAGAGAGTTGGATAGTTGAACAAAATAACCCAATGCTTTTTAGGAAGCACTTACGTATTCAATTTACTAGATACGAATTGAGGCACAGTAGCAACTCCTTCTTTTCCTCGAACACATTGCATTGACCAATTAGCCAAACTCGCATTAGCACATAGTGATGATTTTTAATTGTTCATTGCATATGTGATGATTTTTAATAGTCCAAGTCAACATTCTTCTAAATTTTTTATTTTATACAAGTGGAAAGTTACCCACAAGTTCATAGGCAATTTCAGAAGCAGTTTCATACACCATTAAAAACAATCTTGGACTCGGTAAAGAAAAGACTGCTCGCGGAAAAAATGGAAGACGACCGCGCGCCACCACCTGCAGCAGCCCCAGCCAAGGAGTCTTCCTCCTCAAGCGCATGTAAAGACGTTCCCAATCTCCTCTCCTCCTTCGTCGATACCTTTATCGACTTTTCCGTCAGTGGCGGCCTCTTCCTCTTGCCTCAAAATGACCAAAATGCCCTCCCTTACCACCGTAACCTCGGCGGCGATCTTCTTCCCTCGCCCCCACCGTTGCAGACCTATTATCCCCCGCAGGACCGCTTGATTGCCATCGGCGATCTCCACGGCGACTTGGAGAAGACCAAGGAATCGCTGAGACTCGCTAAATTGATCGACCCGGAGTCGGGTAAATGGGTCGGAGGGTCGTCCACCTTGGTCCAGATCGGCGACGTGCTTGACCGTGGCGGCGACGAGCTCAAAATCCTTTATTATCTCGAGAAATTGAGACGAGAAGCTGCGAGATGCGGCGGCACGGTGATTACAATGCACGGGAACCACGAGATCATGAACGTCGAAGGAGATTTCAGGTATGTGACTCACAAGGGTTTGGATGAGTTTAGGGGTCCCTCTCCCTCTCCCTATCTCTCTCGTTTATTTGGAGAGAGAAGGGATGTCCAAGTCTGTCCCAGATAAGAACTGATAACAGAATTTCAAAATAGTAATGACGTTAGCTTTATTATTTCATATCTTAAATTAATATTTTAATTAATTTGGTAATCAGCTTCCTTATTTTTGTTTTCTTTTTGGACGGCTTTTCAGCTACGATGCTTTCACTCGGTATCACGTAACCATGTTTGACCACACACACACATTCTAACTTCTCTCGAAGCTTTACGTTGGGCCGATTGGTATTGCGTTGGGAACCGAATGAAATCGCTTTGTAGAGGCTTGGAACAGCCCAAAGATCCCTTTGATGGGGTCCCTCTAGGGTTTAAGAATGTCAAGGAAGAGTTTGTAGATGGGTTTAGGGCTAGAATTGCAGCATTGAGGCCAAATGGTCCCATTTCGTCCCGGTTCTTGTCCAAGAACTTGACTGTATTGGTTGTTGGATCGTAGCTCATGGGAAACAAAGACACCTCCATCTACTTTGAATTTCATTTTTCCCTTTACGAGAAACCAACTTCATTACACTTTTTTTTAATGACTAATTTCCAACTCCTCATCAATTCAATTCCTCCTAATTTAATTATGAATTTGTAAACATGCCGAAAGTATTTTTAAGGTTTCTATATCCCTAAGCCTAACCTAGAAGAGAGTTGGGTAGAACTACTTACTTAAATGCCTAGTGTTTTCTAAGAGAGTTGGATAGTTGAACAAAATAACCCAATGCTTTTTAGGAAGCACTTACGTATTCAATTTACTAGATACGAATTGAGGCACAGTAGCAACTCCTTCTTTTCCTCGAACACATTGCATTGACCAATTAGCCAAACTCGCATTAGCACATAGTGATGATTTTTAATTGTTCATTGCATATGTGATGATTTTTAATAGTCCAAGTCAACATTCTTCTAAATTTTTTATTTTATACAAGTGGAAAGTTACCCACAAGTTCATAGGCAATTTCAGAAGCAGTTTCATACACCATTAAAAACAATCTTGGACTCGGTAAAGAAAAGACTGCTCGCGGAAAAAATGGAAGACGACCGCGCGCCACCACCTGCAGCAGCCCCAGCCAAGGAGTCTTCCTCCTCAAGCGCATGTAAAGACGTTCCCAATCTCCTCTCCTCCTTCGTCGATACCTTTATCGACTTTTCCGTCAGTGGCGGCCTCTTCCTCTTGCCTCAAAATGACCAAAATGCCCTCCCTTACCACCGTAACCTCGGCGGCGATCTTCTTCCCTCGCCCCCACCGTTGCAGACCTATTATCCCCCGCAGGACCGCTTGATTGCCATCGGCGATCTCCACGGCGACTTGGAGAAGACCAAGGAATCGCTGAGACTCGCTAAATTGATCGACCCGGAGTCGGGTAAATGGGTCGGAGGGTCGTCCACCTTGGTCCAGATCGGCGACGTGCTTGACCGTGGCGGCGACGAGCTCAAAATCCTTTATTATCTCGAGAAATTGAGACGAGAAGCTGCGAGATGCGGCGGCACGGTGATTACAATGCACGGGAACCACGAGATCATGAACGTCGAAGGAGATTTCAGGTATGTGACTCACAAGGGTTTGGATGAGTTTAGGGATTGGGCCGATTGGTATTGCATTGGGAACCGAATGAAATCGCTTTGTAAAGGCTTGGAAGAGCCCAAAGATCCCTTTGATGGGGTCCCTCTAGGGTTTAAGAAAATCAAGGAAGAGTTTGTAGATGGGTTTAGGGCTAGAATTGCAGCATTGAGGCCAAATGGTCCCATTTCGTCCCGGTTCTTGTCCAAGAACTTGACTGTATTGGTTGTTGGAGATTCGGTTTTCGTCCATGGCGGGCTTTTGGCCGCACACGTTTCTTATGGCCTGGAGAGGATCAATGCGGAGGTGAGGGATTGGGTTCATGGATTGAAGGGCAGATCTGCACCCGAGTATTGTCATGGGAGGAATGCCGTGGTTTGGTTGAGGAATTTTTCGCATGAATTTGCGGAGAAGTGTGATTGTTCAGCTCTTGAACATGTTTTATCTACAATTCCTGGCGCTAAGAGGATGATCATGGGTCATACCATTCAAGAGTTTGGGATTAATGGCGTTTGCGAAGAGAGAGCAATTCGGATTGATGTTGGTATGTCGAAGGGGTGTATTAATGGGTTGCCTGAAGTTTTGGAGATCAATGGGAATTCAGGTATGAGGATCTTGACCTCAAATCCATTATACGAGAAGAAGAAGTATGGATCTTCTGTGGAAAGTGAGAGGAGGCCAGGGCCTGGATTTTTGCCTCAAGAGCATGGACCAAAACAAGTGGAAGTGAAGGCTTAACTATTTGGGTATTTTATGCTAAACCTTACTAGTCATACTTAAATGGAGCTCCTTCCGAACATATATGACTTTTTACTTTTTATTTTCTAAACTATTATTCAGCTGGCCCCAGAAGTGTAAATATTTAATCATCAATAGTCAAGCTGGAAATTGGATCAATACTAACATGTTGGTATTGTGTTTCTGTAGCTGTTTTTGTTTTTCAACGTGAAACATTAGTGCTTTCACTGACATTGGAAAATGTTTTGTGCAAGCAGGGGATATATGCATACAAGTTTTGTTTTGTCATGTTATACATGTTTCGACTGTTTACTCTTTAGTGTGTTTCTACTTTTATTGATGCATTGTTGATCACTCATATCCTGAATCTAGTATAATGTGCTGGATGGTAAGGCATTGTATCATTAGAAGTAGCTACCATAAGAATTCGGATGGCTATTTATTTTGGATTATAAATTGGTAATGACCAACCATCAAGAGTAATTCTCATTAAAAAAAGAAAAGAAAAAAAGAACTATCAACGTAATGTTTTGTTCCTGACAAGGAAGATTTTACTTGAATGCTCTTACTATTTTCAGTTGATTTTGTCCACAATTGTGTTCTGATCGTTGATGTTGGTAAAAGTGAGGGATGTTATTATGATCTGATGGCCACGAGTGGAATACACAATGACTTATGAGTGTGATGCCAAGTAGGCATATATAAAGGTTTGGGCATCAAGAATTTGGAATCTTAAGAAAGACCCATAATTTTCTGCTTTGAAAGTGTTTTTCCATTACAATTGTAATGATATTTTTAGGTTTTTGGAAGTCTTTAGTTGTGGGGCGTGATGTGGATCGATTGTTGGACAAGTAATATATTCTCTGGATTTTGTCCAATAGTTTGAAGGAATAATTTTGGTCGCACATGTATTAAAAGCAATGGATTTAGACACAATTTTGTGTTTGATTTTAATTTTATAAGTAGTTTCCAGAGACATGGTCTTGAAATAGCAGGAATTTTTAAGAGTTTGCCTTATTGCAGCTTTTGCTTTTCTTGAACCAGAATCTGGAAATTGCAATGGAGAACATCATTTCTCTGCGATTCATTTTAAAAATGATCTCTATTGAAAGTTGGATTCAGCAGAACTGATTTTCTAACAATGCAAGTACGGGGATTTGGGTTTCTATGCAGTTCTTCCAGCTATCAATATCACTCTTAGCCTCCTTTGTTTCGAAAACTGCCTCAAGTTCAAGCTCGCCAGCAAACTCCTGCTCACCAGGTATTAGAAAATAAAAAGAAAAGAGTATAGAACTAATGAATGCCATAGTACATTGAGTTGAGTTTATGCCAATTCATGCTATGCCCTTTTAAGTTGAAATTTGAACGCAAATAGTCCTCACTGCAGTCAAATACATTAATTCTTCCCTGAAGTCAAATCTCTGTTTCCTTCATTTTCCTGCAGTAGTACTTTTTATTTCAATTTGGGTGACTTTTAAATATTTTAATAATTCAAAGCTTTCAATATTGTTATTGACTTGTTTTGTTGCATAGTTTGGGATATCTTTAGATTAGGGTCCCCTGTAAGCACCAAATCTATAAAAGTATCCTATAGTTCAGCTACTTGAACTGCACGGATGCTAAAGTTGAAAGTAAAAATAGACCGACAACGAGATCTGAAATTAGAGCGAAGGGCGAATAAAGAGTGCCAACTAAGCAACATAACATCTGAAAGTAAATACTAATTTTTTCTTTCTTTTCAAAACGGATTTCCTGTCTGTCTGTTGCATGGTACAATATAACTTAAATAACTGCTGTTCCATATCCTTAAGATTTATAAATTATTTGATAATTGTTATGGAGGGGTTATATAATTTGAGTTTTGGTATGATGGAGCTCGACTGAGCTCAAGAATTCCTCCGATAGTTATTGTAGCCTAACAAAGGTGTGGTTGAAATTACAGTTCCTTTGGAAAAAGCCTGCCTTTGATTTGGTTTAGTTATAAATATACAGTGCCATTTTTTTTTTTGGAATAAATACACAACCACAGTTGAAGGAAGCAGTGCTACTTGGAGCTCAGTGTACAACTGAAGGAAATAGGTGGATCAAATAGGAGCATTTTTATGAATTACTCAAATAGGTGGATCAATAGGAGAACATAATTTCTCACCTCAACATATTCTTTCTTTTGGCCTTCTCTGTTGGATCAATGTTGTCCATCCTAGAGGCTTTAGTTATAAGTGCTGGGAGAAGTTCAAATACATGGTCGAAACTTCCTTGCTAATGGATAGAAGGGGCTAATTAAATCCTGTTGAGATGACTATCGGAACTTGCTTTTTTCTCTGTTATAGTTGAAATGCATTCTCTGCTTTTAATATCGATTAATAATGTCAGATTGTCAACTTTGTAGACTGTTTTTTGTTAGTAAAATTTGTCTTAAGTTGACTGAACCTTTACCATTTGTACTCGCGGCATGACTGTTACTAGATTCATACTCGACATGCATTTTGCTGACAGTCGTATGCATGTCCATACATCCACTTGTCTCTTTTATTTTCCTTCTATATTGTAGGAACCATCATAACCATTTCCCATTTTCCACTTTCTTTATCAGATGGCTGACAAGCATACTTGGTCAAACAAAGAAGAGAAATCATTGCCGGCTGACATCGAGGAGAAGTCGTTGCAAATGGCCAACGTGATGGAGTAGCTACTTTTAAGAATAGATGAATGCAGGAAGGTGTTGTAACTTGTTCATCTTCTTCAATTCCTCCCAAGGACATATGGTGACTCTGCGATTATGGACTTGCTTTATAAGATATATCCAAGTATGCACTACGTTCTAATCGTAGAAGTTATCTTTTCTCTTTTCTGGTTTATGTATCCAACTATATTCTAAGATGCATTTGAGGAATATAATAATCATTGAGATTTCAATTTTGAGTACAGGAATGTGAGATGGTATAAATAGGGATAAGCATCAATGGGTACTGAATTTGCATAAGCTTTGTTATTGAATTATGGACTTATTAGCACAGCTGTTAACCCGAACTTTTCTTGCCTTATCTCAAGTCCTGCAAGAGATATTCATGCATCTGGAAGGAAAATACTAATGGAAGTAATTGTTTTTGACTGTGTATTGTAATTTTTTTTGTTTATTCATAATTGAGCAA